TGTCTTCATAAATGAACCATGTTTGAGAAGATTTCATTGGCCAAATGCTTGAAAAAGGAAAACGGAAGTACAAGGCAGATTTGCCTTGGAAATTCTTGGAATTTTAGCGGCTTTGTCAACTGACCTTCCGTACGAATTTTTGCATGAAATTTGACAGAGGAATAGCCCTTCTATGGTAGGGTAATACTACCAAATTTGGTGCCATTCCAAGTTCATTTTGATGCTCAACTGAAATCCCAAAGTTCATGTTTCAAATCTGGAAAATCCTTATTCAATGAGAAAATTTCAGCAACTTTGAGCTGCTATATCTTGGCGCTCAAAACTCCGATTCTTGTTCTGTTTGTTGTGTTTTAAACTTTGTTTATAACTATAATTGAGTTCCAAATTACAGAGGCTAGTTTACATTTTGTGAATTTTGCCGAATTTTCAAAGTTGGCAAAAACCAACCCCGAAACTGTCTTGGTAGCCCGAAACAGCAACTTTGAGCCAAATTTTGAATGTCATTCATTTGGAATCATGGAAAAATATCTTCTAGGAACTTTTAGTACTTTAGAAGTAGTTTCCAACGGTACCAATTTTTCGAATTTTGGACCTACAGAAAGTGAGATACAATTTTTCAAAGATTACTTGTCAAATCTGAAATTTCCGAATTTAAAGGAAATTGAGTTTTGAGAACTCACCATTTTCCTCGATATTGCTTGATCATTTTACACTTGATTTCAAAGATGAAAATCGAATTTCCTTGTATTATTAAAACCCCACTTTTGAGCCTCGATTTACAAGTAATTAAGACTCATTCTCATAATATCTTCTTAGATTGTACACGAGTGCAATCTTTCTCGATAAGTAGGGGTTTTAAACGATAGTGTGTAATAGTTCATTATTATTGCTCAGGCACTCAAGAGGACTTTCAAGAAAATCTCACAGGAGACGCCTAAACAACCGCTTGTGCTTTACTTCTTGAATTACTTGGTGAGTGTCAAGTGTATGTGAACTTGATACATGCTTAACTGTTATTAATGATTGGAGATTTTGAAAATGGAGTCCAGTGTGTACTTTACCGCACTCGTTTTCATTTGAAATGAATGACTCATGATTGAATTAATTGAAATGAAATGAATGGATCATGAATGACTTGATTGAAATGAAATGAATGATTGAATGTATCGAATGCTTGAATGGCATGAAATGGTATGCTATGGCTGTATACGTCGTTGGAGTGAATCTCCTCGACTTACAAATGTTACATGGGGGACGCCCAAACTCATAAACTGACCTGGGAATCGAGCTGGCATGGGTTTGGTCGGGAATCTTGGTGAGTCATGAGAATAATATGATAAACTTGATCTATTGGAGAGATTTCACTTGGCATACTCGTGGAGTATCACCTTATAAATGACGTTCGGGGCCGGTGCGGTATGTATGGTGGACGGGGAACGCGTAAGTGAAGCTTCTACGGACTATGACCTATCCGATTGACGGAGTGTCAACTCGTGGAGGTTCTTGATCGTGCCAGTGGACAATAGCTCCTGAGAGCTCCCATATCCTTGAATTGTTTCTATTTACATTTCACTTGAATTGTTAATTACTCGAATATTATCATTTTCTTGTTAATTGGACAACGTGCTTATATGTGTGTTTCTTGGCCTCACGAGCAATTGCTCACCCCGTAGATTTATTTTTCTTAACAGGCATGGACATGGAGTGAAACTCGGAGAAACCCTTTTGTTGTACTTTTGTATTAGGGTTCCAAATGTAATCGACTAGACTTTTGACAGTTGTATATTTTGGAAATTTGATGTATTTTGGAACTCTTGGTGTAAGTTTGAATGTTATTTATGGAAGTGACTTATCTTTCTTACTTTATCTTGTCTTGATAGCTAGTATTGTAATAAGTTTGAACGGAAATTGTACCGAATCCTGGCAAGAGTTGGGCAGGCGTCCCGTGGATATCTTTTGGTTCGTCTTAGGGAGAAGTGGGGGCGTCACAATACTTACTTTCCTCTAAATAAACATCTAAATCTGATTTTTCTGGTGGAGCCCTGTTAATTTCACTCACATGCATGTGCAACTTTTCTTTACCAGTTAAAATGACAGGTCCAGTCATTTTCTGTTTCTTACTAAAAGAACTAGAACCTTCATTTTGTTTCCCTTTTACAACCTGCCTCTGTTGTTGTTCAGAATGGGAAACAATGTGACAATCAACATATTCATTGTAAAGCTCATAAAGAGTGTCTCTAATTTCAGCCACGAATCTAGGAGCTGCATCCTCACCATAAATCACCGGAAAAGCATGATTAATAAGAAATATTTTGTATCTCGGATCCAAAATTGCACCCAAAGATAGCAGCACATTACTTTTCCCCCAATACTTATCAAATTTAGCAGACATACTTCCAGCCATAGCCCGAATATGCTAAAAAGGGTCAAGAGCTTTTTCATTTAAAAGCTCTTTAATCCTATAGAGCTCCACAAGAAAATGTTAGCTGTTGGATACTCGGACCCGGAAATCATATCAATGATTTCATGAAATATTCCTAGAAATTTGCACACTTCTTCCACTTTCATCCACTCAAAATCAGTAGGAACATAGTGAAATCCGGGGTCAATGTCTGCATATCTTGGAAAAATATCCTTGAACTCTAAACCCGAAACTAACATCAAATAGGTGCTATTCCACCTTGTTGGACAGTCCAAAATTAGCTTTCTAGAGGGCAACTGAAACTGTTTTTTAATTTTGGCAAATTCAAGAAGCCTAGATTCAGAATTGTTCAAGTACTTTATCCCTTCTCTAACAACATCAATCACACCACCAAGTTGACCAAGACCATTTTGCACTAAGAGATTAAGTATATGTGCACAACATCTAACATGAAAATTTTTTCTCCAATACTTAATCTTTTTTTTAGAGAAAAATCCTCTCTAAATCTCCTAATGCACACATCATTGTATGAAGCATTATCAACAGTTATGCTAAAAACCTTATTCTCAATCTCCCAATCAATAAAGCACTTACTTAGAGTATCAGCTATAATAACTCCAGTATGAGGAGGAGGAACATTGCAAAAATTCAACAAATATTTTTGTAGCACCCAATCAAAATCAACAAAATGACCAGTCACAACCATATATTGAATTTTTTGACCAGATGTCCACAAATCTGTGGCAATACTAATCCTACCAGCACCTTTCAACAATGATTTCAGCTTCCTTTTTTCAATTGTATAAGTACTAATGCAATCTTTCTTAACAATCTGCCGATTAATCCTTTTATAAAATAGAGAAGTTGCTTTCATGAATTTGTTGAAAACTACATGATCCATTATAGAAAAGGGGTACTCATGTGCAAGAATCATGTGTGATGCAAGTTCTCTTACCTTGGCATGATCATACAAGAAATTTGTGATGGAAGTGATACAATTACTTGGGCCTTCGATGAATGACAGCACTTGTTGCTTTTGTTTGCTTTGCTCTCCAATGACTATTTTTCTTTGTAAGCAAGAATCAAGTGTCTCTTGTGCTGAGATGTGGCTCCGGTTGCACTCTTGACAAAAAGTCCCTTGCAATTGTTGCACTTCACTTTGACCGTCCCATTATCTAGCACTATTGTTGTCATTTCATCCCATATACTAGATTTCTTCTTCCTTTGTTTTTTCTCAAAAGGACCAGCTCCTTCATCTCCATCTCTTGCTGTCCTCTTTCATTGCCCTCATTTTCTATCATTTCTATCTCTTCTTCACTCATCTCATCAGCTCTTTCTTTGTTGTAGTTCAATTGTTCCACGTCTTCATTGTTTTGCTTCATCACAGGACTTGATGATGAATCTTGAAATGAGTTGAATGGAGAGTTGTACATTCCTTAGTCAAAACACATTTAATAACCAATACAGATTCTGATTAGCTAAAACAGAAATTTCGAATAACATTTCTAAGAAATAAGGTACAAAAGTAATAAAACAGATTCCAAGAAATAATGCCCACTTCAAGCCAGTTTTAACATTTCTTTAACTTGTTCCTATCTCAATTCTCAAGCTTGCACTCAGATTAATGAAATAACAGTGAAAAACTCTTAAAATGGTAATCCAAACAAAAAGTTAGTTTTGCTGAAATGAAGAAACTAAAATGAAGAAAGTTTTGCCTTGCAGAATCTTCTAGGTTGAAAAATGCTTTCACTGTCAAGCTTAAACAAAAGTGCAAAACATGAAGAAATATCACATGCTAAAGAAAAGAAGATGACTAGCTTTATTAAAGTTTTGTCCATTGTTTGTTATATGGCTAGCGCTGTTAAAGTTCTGTCACTTATGGTTGACTATTACATCTTTTCCAGGTACTACGAAGAGAGGCAATATTGAGCTGATACGTACTTTTTAGTGTTCATTAATCAATAAGAAGTTGCAGATCGTGAAAGCTATCATTTCATTGCTAGAAACTGGCATTTTCATTGTCCAAGAAGTTTGCAGCTCATCAAAGCTGTAATTGATTTCTGAAAATTGGCATTTTCATGGTCCATGATGCATGCCTACTTGCCCTTCCTGGTAGTATAACTGTACTTATCAAGGTTTGTAAAATCGGGATCCCACGTCGGATCGATTTTAGTTTCACAGAATCGGATCGTAGGATCGTAAGATCCTACCAAAAACTCCTAAATTTACTAAATTAATGAATTTGAAATTCATATATCATTTTGTACATCCTAAAAGATATCAAATAAATAAGTTACTCATAAATATATAGTATTTTTTACTTACTATCTGACAAGTAATAAAGAAGAGAATGTAAACCTGTTATCTGTCATGATTTCAAATCTTAAAATCAAATGCTTCACAGTTTACACAATCATAATTTCAAATATAAAATAATCATCAACCTTCACAAATACTAAAAAGCAAAACATCCAAAAAGATTTTCAAGATCAAAATTAACTACTAGAATGTCATCTGTCATGTTTAAACAAACATGAAAAAATAAAAAATAAAATAGCAACAATTCATCATTTTCAAGTATCATAATAATTCAGAAATACATTAATTTATAACCAATCATTTTCATCGTTTGAATCAAATTCATTATTCCCATAATCCATATTATCAAAATCATTATTTTCCCAATCATCTTCACCATCCCAATTCTCTTGGAATTCATCTTCGGCATTATCTTAATCACCATCCAAATTAGTATCATCCAAATCATTAGTTCCCATTTGAAGATCAGTTTCGGGAACCATATCAAGATAATCATCATCTTGGCGGTCGAATTCAGTTGAAGGCCCATCATCCTCATCAATAACATGAATCTCTTTCATTTTATTAACTTGTCTTCGACGGACATGGGTTTGACGATCTTCATGATCATCTAAATAAACAAACAATAATAATGAAAGTTACCAAAAACAAGAGAACTTGAAAAATAAAACTATAAAAACAAAAAAAAGGATAAACTTTATACTTAAATTGGAAGAAAGAAAGAAACTTACAAACTCTCTGCACATTTCTTGTAAGTATTTCAATTTCATCATCTTCATTTCCCTCTTCATCTGAAGTGTCACATTTGGGATTGTCATCTAGAACTCGTAACCAGCTATTTTCTCTTGGAAGAGTTGGATTTTCTCTCTCTGTCACCCATTCATCATCTGAAGGCAAATTCTCAAAAGGAATTTCTTCAATAACACGTTGCCTTTGCCTTTGTCTCTCTCTCAACTTCAAGTTGTACATCACAAACACAAGGTCATTCATTCGTTTTTGAGCCAAACGGTTTCTTCTCTTAGAATGTACCTATTGAAATTGAAAGAACTTATACAGTTATACTACGAACTTAAATTCAAATGCTAAACAAAATATTATACTAAATGAGATATTATATTATATGAAAACATTATTACCAATTCAAATGCGCTCCAATTTCGCTCACATCCAGAAGAGCTACAAGTTAAACTGAGAATTCGAATGGCAAAATTTTTCAACTCTGGACACTCATCGCCATAAGATTCCCACCAATCAGCTGTAGGAAATTAAAATAAATAACAAATTAGTAAAGGTTTTAAAAATAAAAACACAAAGTTCAACTAGTAACTAACCAGGAGATTTCTTGTTTCTTGTTAGTACAGCATTTTCATGACCAAATAATCCATTTGCATGTCGAAAATCATCTAATTGCAAATCAATCTTCACCCTTTCACCAGATTCGGGAACCATCTTAGCAATGCAATCATAAAGGCCACGTTTTATATTTGCATCCGACTGAAAATCTGGACTATATTGAAATTGAGGATTCAAATAATAACCCGTGGCATGTAAAGGATGACTCAATTGATCTTCCCATCTTTTATCAATGATAGCAAATGCCGATTCAAATCTAGCACATAAACATGAGTTTGGTTAAAAAAATAACTAAAAAAATTCATTCTACTATCCAACACAGAAATTATAAATGAACTCATAATTAATATGACAATTTATTTAAAATTCACCTCTTTCGAATATTGTTCACATTTTGTTTGATTTCTTCTTTTGCCTGATCAATAGCTTTATAGAGAAAGCCCATGGCTGGTTTTTCATCAGAATCAACCATCCTCAATACTTTGATAAGAGGCGAAGCTATCTTTAAACATAACTCCACATTTGGCCAAAATTGTTGATTATCAAAAATGATGCTCTCAATTTTTTTCCCCTTGTTTCTCCTAGCATACATGCTTGTTTTCTTTTTATCCGAACAGAAAAAGTTAAACAAATTCCCTTTCAGCTCGCTAAGACGTCTCATGGTCAAGTATGAAGTAGCAAAACGAGTAACTCCAGGTCTAATCAACTCCTTGCCATTAGTGAACTGTTTCATCCAATTAATAACTGTACCCCATGAATAAATATATGTAACCACTGATTTCGCTTTTTGTATAGTAACTTTGTGGAGAGAATCAAACTTTTAAAAATCTTCTAACATTAGATCAATACAATGAGCAGCACAAGGGGTCCAAAACAATCTTTTTCTCTTTTCCATCAATATTTTTCCAGCTGCCTTATAATTAGAAGCATTATCGGTGATGACCTGCACAACATTATCCTCTCCAATTTTTTCCACAATACCATCTAACAATTCAAATAATTTTTGAGCTGTTTTTGAAATATCAGTGGTATCTACCGAAGATAAGAACACAGTACCAGCTGGACTATTCACAAGAAAATTGTTCATTGTTCTCTTTCTCTGATCAGACCATCCATCGGACATAATAGTATAGCCAATTTTTTTTCCACTCTTTTTTGTACATATTGAGCAAATTCAATGTCTCTTGCACCTCTTTTTTCAAAAAGGTCACTCTCATTTCATGGTATGAAGGTGGTTTAAATCCTTTTCCATATTCTCCCAATTTCCTAATCATTAAAGGAAACAATGGGCTATTTACAGCATTAAATGGAACGGCACTTGTATAGAACCACCTAGCCATTATTTGACAAACTTCATCTCTATCTTGTTTCTTCCATTTCTCATTTATGGTTGTTTGTCTCACATTCAACCCCCCAGATTTTCTCACAACAAAGTTGTCCATAGAACATTTTTTAGCCTGCTGCTTAACTTCACCTTCTTCTTCTTTTAAATCATACATGGTACTAACCCTTTGTTTTTTTTTCCTTGATTCCTCAGAACTTGCACTTAGTAAATCAAACATTTGGGTTCTAACATCTTCAGGAACGCTAGGACATGGTTCAACATTTGTATGTGTACAAGCTAAATGATGCTTAAGCCTATACACACCACCAGCTCGAGTAATTCCACAGTATTTACACTGAAATTGTTTTTTATTAGAATCAATTTCAATTCCATGATCCCACCCGGGATCCAATCGAGCACCCGGTGCATTTTTTGTACTTTGTTTCTTTGAAGCGGATGAAGACATTTAAGCACTGCCAAATATATTAGAATATTCATAAAAAACCAAGAAATTCAGACCAGACCAGCACTTGATAAAAGAAAATAAAGCTAGCATTCAAAAAATAAGCCAGACCAGACCAGCACAAGAAATTCAGTCTTATTACCAATGATTTTTGCAAGGCCGAGTGCAAATCCAATGAAAACATAGGTAAAGGACATAACAGCAGCAACAATAGAAGTTTAGAAATTAATGCTTGAACAGCAAACATTTGTATTTGTGTGAATTTTTCTGGAAAATAAAACTTTGCTATGCGTCCTACCAGAAAAGGGAATTCTTTTATGTGTCCTTAGTGATCCTTCATACCCTGTACTGATGTCTAGATCAGTACAGAGTTCTTATAGTACATGAAGCATCTTTGGGATCACAACTTAATATAGCTTAGTCAAAGGAATAACCTGGACTAGAGTAGAACAGAAAAACAATCCTGTGAAAACAGATTATTAAGGAGTCATGTAACAGAAAGAAAAATTATCAACTGACATGTTTTACTGTAAAGATAACAGTTGAAAAATCAACTGTCCAACTGCTGCAAAATGCATGACAAAATGGGAAGATTTAAACGATGTTATATTAAATAATTTTATGAGTTCTCATTAATTCATTATTACAAAATAATAATACTCCTAACTTTGATTTCTTCAACAAGTTCAATGGGAAGATTTATGTGGTAGCAGAGTCTCGATTATCAGAGCTTCCTATGGAGAAGGCAAAAAAAAGTGTACCTAATGGACCCGTTAATGATTCTGAGAGCACAAATCCTAAGACAAAGTGCTGGTGCTTCAGAACCGTCAATAATTTTCAAGCAAGAAAACCAAAATTTCACAAATCCTAATGGACCCGTCAATAATTCCCTTCAACTTCAACTCAATTCAATCAAAAGCAATATATGTTCAAATACCAAGAAAACCAAATACAAATCACAACTTTATCAATCACTATCTCCCCAAGTATCAATTTTTAAGCAAGAAAATAACCACACTCACATATGACTTTAATTGAAGTGCTGGTGCTTGAGCTTCAGTGTGGTGGCAGGCTGGCAGCACGAAAATTGGAGAAGAACGGGTGCTGGAGCTTCAAGCTTTGAAGCTTGAAACGGCCAAAATCCAGCGGCAACAGAGGATTTCGTAGCTTGATATTCTTACCGAAGCAATGGCTGCTGGAGCTTGAAGCTTTAAAGCTTGAAGCCTTGAAGCTGTCGGCTGTAGCTTGTGGGTTCTTGGTAGAAGCCGCAGCAATTTGTCTTGTTAGTACTTGGTCTTGGTAAGAGCTGTAGCCGAAGCTTGAGATGGTTTGATGGTTTAAATTAGGGATTTGATTTGGGCAGCGGAGAGGAGAAGAGAAATGACAAAGGTCTGCTTGAGGAGAAGATGAAGAAGACCGAAGCTTTTTGACGGAACCTTTTGACTTTGAGGCAAAATTTGTTAAAACATTGCAACTAAGGCCTGCAATTTCTTGATAAACTACAAGCCTACCCCAAATGTTGATTTTTACTTGCAAAATGAACCTTGTATTTCACAAATTAGCCCTTTTTTGTGGGATCGAAGTAGGATCGTAGGATCGTACGATCCTATGCGATCCTACCGATCCTACCTTGATCCTACGTAGATTCAAGGAGTTTGCGATTCTAAGTGCGATCCGGATCGATTTTGCCTTTCCAGATCGTAGGATCGTACGATCCTACGATCCGGATCGCAATTTTAACAACCATGGTACTTATCAGAAGTATCATAGCAGACGGTTTAGAATGCCATTTTAAGACGACTGGTGGAAACTTTTGCAATTCGCAAGCTCTTTCGAGGAAATTTATGGACATCAATAGAGAAAGTTACATTTTAACCAGGAAGAGTTAAATGTATGGGAATTGAATACTTTGGCTTTCTTTTAACAAAATGTTTGGTATCATCAACAGTCAGTTCTATAACATGGATTAGAAAATGTAGAAATCAAAGAGCACAGAGACAAAAAGTGATGTTTCCTTCTTTATTTTCTTAGAGACACAAGTTTAATCGCAGCAACTATTCCATGGTCTGAACGAAATGAAACATCAAACCCCGCTTCAAGTGTCGAAGGAAGGTAACGCAGTAGTGATGCACGTAATCGCATAAAAGAATATGTGAGCATTTCAGGCGAAATTTGACACTTATGCAACAATCCAGAACAATGGGTAAAAAAAAGGCTATTTAACTGGTAAAAGACATGCTATTTGAAGCCAAAAATCCACTAAGCGGTCCCTAAGCAATCCGTGCAGGTGAAATTCGGGATAAAACACAGAGATAAAACACAAGAAGCCAACAGGATACGGGGAAGCCATACGGGATACGGGGCTATCCACCATTAACCAAAATCCACACAACCTCTTAAAACCAAAATAAATTGCAAAAATTGAGAAGAAATGGTTACCAGATTATGCAGCGAATCGGGATATGGTAGAAGCCCCTGGCTTTACCGAGGTGGCTCCGTATGGCGTTGCTCACGGATTCACGAGAAGTGGATTGAATGATGGTGGTGAGATGGTGGACGGATTGGTGATGGAGGTGAGATGAATGGATTGGTGAGTCAGTGACGGTGGTGAGAATGGAGGGTGCGGCTGCGGCTGTGGAACGGGAAAATGAAAGATCGAAAGAGGAAAGAAAAAATTAGGGATTGCGCCTGGTGGTGAGATAGTGGACGGATAGATGATGGTCCTGATGGAGGTGAGATAATGGATGAATTGGTGAATGGTGAGTCGGTGACGGTGGTGAAAATGGAGGGTGTGGGTGTGCGACTGTGGCTACGGCTGTGGAACGGGAGAAAATAAGACCAAAAGAGGAAAGAAAAATTAGGGCTACAAACGAGAGAATGACTTAGGTTAGCGTACCACATACACAATGAAATGACGTTAATGCCCCTACTCTTCGAACCTACCGAGCATAGCTCGGCTCGTGTATTAAACGAATATTGAGTAAAGTTCGAGCTCGGATCGTTTCTCTCTGTAAACAAGCCGAGCCGAGCCCTTATCGAGCTGGGTCGAGCTCGGCTCGCGAGCTACCCGGTTCGATTAACAGCTCTAGTTACCTATAAATCAGGTTAATAGAAAATATAGAAAATTAAAAAAAAATATCTAAATTTTCCGATTCATCTCCTCCCTTACTCTCAGCATCCTTCTCCCTCCTCCCCATCCTATTCATAGTTCCTTTATTTTGCCATACATACAAGTCAAATAATGTCAATTCGGTGCTGCACAAATACAGTGTAATGTCAATTCAGTGCTTGAGTATTTATTTGTTGATTGGATTGTTTTTGTGTAATTTTTGTAAAATTTGATGCTAAATTTTGAGGAGAAAATTGAAAATTGGATTTTGCAAGTTCAAGTTGCTATTTTATGATTATTAAGATTTGTTTTGGGTAGGGGTGGGTACAGGTCAAGTAGTACTCATTCTATGCTTCATTTGGCTGACTAGACCCGTACCTTGCAAGACAGCTATCTTCTGATCTTTAACCATCCCGTATATGAGTGGGTTTCCATTAAAGTAGGGTTGAGTCAACAGATATCTGCATCACGCTGGTTATCATTTAATTTTTTTTAAAAATAATTTATAGTAATTTAATTTTGTATTTTGAATATTCATCTAAAACTTAATAAAGATTTTTTCTCAATAAAAAAATGAACATGCAAAGAGAATACGAGAAAAGAAAATTAAAAGAATTCAAAATCAATGAAAATTCAAATAAATAATACCTCTTTCCAAATATATGTTCTACATTAATTAAACTGTTTCCTTAAAAAAAAAAAGAAATCATGACATCTATAAATGAATCTTATAAATAAACTTTAATTTTTCATATTTATAATGTATTTTGTTTAATGAAATTACTTATTTACCTCCAAAAGTATTATTTTGTAATATGTGTGTAAAAATAAAAAATATATATGTGGGAAGAATCGGGTTCCCACGGATTCTTAATCAGGTGACTCCAACTAACACCGCATACAAGTAATTATCCAACTTTCTTTTGACTCGATCAAATAATACACACCGGAACCCTATTTGTTGAATCGAATCGAATCGGATGTGGCAGATTTTTGGATTAACAGGTATTTTTGCCCAACCCTAGTTTCAGGTGTCTTCAAAATTGTTTTAAAGGGGTTAATTAGATGCCCCAAAGGCAAAGTGAGTGTTGGTTGATGAATTTGTTTGGGCATATGATCGAGTTTGAGAAAAGCCCATAGCAGAAGGCAATCCCGAAAGTTTCAAATTTTCGAATCAGAATTTCAATTATGACCTTATTTTTGTATCGTCAAAGGGTTTAAACTGAAGAAAAATGATGCCATAATCATGACTCAAGCGAATAAAATGAGTGTTGGGCAAAAATTGATCTTGAAAAGAAGTGTTAGATGGTGGTTGAAGATAGGCAACTAGTGTTCGTGTTACGAGGTGTTTACTCTTGATAGCCAAACATGCACGTAATGGCACTGGTAAGTCGCATTACCAGTCAGCCCTCACACTCATACTTGTGCACAAGTATTCAACGTAGAACACTCAGACAAAACAAAGGAACAACACGTACAAGTTAAAGCCAAGCGGCCAACCTTGTATTTCACAATAGAGATTACAAGGACAATTCTACAAACACTTAGCGTGCAGAACATCTAAGGATGTTTCTTAGTATCTGCCCTTAGTCTCTGCCTAGCCATTTATTTATAGGCATTGTTACGGTTGACAAGACCCAACCATTGGTCCAATCCAAATGTACATGAGTTAGGAAATCGATAAGAACGTGTCTGAGTTGGCTGGTAACCTTTCGCAACTTCAACAACGGCTAGCAACTGCCAGACAGTCCCAACGTTCGTCTTTCCGAGCACAGGCAACGGTCGCACGATTTCGCGCGCCCAGCTTCCCACCATTTGCTACGTTTCGTGCCCAACTTGCTCCAACACCTAGCAACTTTGTCACCACGGTTCCAAATGCTTGGAACCATCTGAA